TCAGAATGGGCCAAAAAACATCTTTCTCCCGATTGGCCGACCCAGGTTTTAGGCCTTTCTCAAGTGATAGTGGCTCAGGTTGGTTTGAGGGGCCCCCGACTGGCTTCCACCTGCTATGAGTCAGTAAATAAAAAATGATGAGAACCACCTTTTACCTGTAGTACCTTCTTCCCTTCTCATCTACAAAAATAAATAAATAACTGAGTAGAGAGTGGTGTAGCACAAAGACCACTGATTTAGAGGCATGGGCCAGACTCAAATTCCAGCTGATACTTGCTAGTTGTGTGACTTTAAACATCTAATTTAACCTTTTGGGGCCTCACTTTCCTTATCTGTAAAATGAGGGAATGGGACTGGATTATCTAGAAGCATCTTTCTAGATCTGAATGAAATGATCCCTTAGATCATGACCTGGAAAGCCAACAGTCAGTGGGAAAAGCAAAGGGAAGTCAAATTTCCTGATGACACAAGGGAAATGCAATATGTTATAATAATATAACATAAAGGTGTTTCAAAATGCCTTTCCCTCCTCACTCTCATACCCTTCATTCCCTACAAACCTTAACTGGTAGTAACTGGCCTAATATTTTTGCTTCACACCAGACTACATCCAGTACTATTCCAATGTGGCAACTTCAAAAGGATAATTTCAAAGCATTTGACAAACATTAACAGCCTCAGCCTAGCCCTGATGAATAAACACCCCCACTTTAAAAATGAAGAAACAGAGGCACAAGATGATACAACTTATCCTGAATCACAAAGGAAGACACTGCAAAGTTAGGATAAAGGAAACCTATTTGCAAAAGGCTGTTCTACTGCACATTAATTTATTGAAGAAAAATTCATTTCAAGTTCAAACACTGCATGGGGGCTTATGATGCTAGGCAAAAGACAAGAAGACTTTCCAAAAGCTGGCTCCAGCCCACTTCTCCAGCCTTACTTCACATAACTAGCCTTTCACACTGCCGCCAAACTGGCCCGCCAGCTGGTCCTGAACTTCACCTGCCTGCTACTTCCTATGTTCACACATTTGCACCCACCTTCCCCCGTGCTTGGAACAGCAAAGGCCTTCAAACATATGAGTTGCTAATGCTACAATAGCAGCAGTAGGATTCGGAATCTTCCTCCTCCTTCAGGCTCCACCGAGGGGCCACGACCTACATGGAGCCCTTCTGGGAAAGGACTCTAGTCTTTGTTCTCCAGCATATTAGATATTTCTGTAGACATGTTTTATTCTTCCCCCTTTCCTTTCCACATTTGTTTGTAAGCTCATTTTGAGCAAGGACTCACTGTTTCTTCAAATTTGCATTTCTGGCACCTAGGACAGTACCTAATATAGAGGAAGCACTTAAGATTCATCTATCTTTGCTATTCAATTCCACACACATCAAGTGCCTGGAACGACAAAGATGAAAAACTACACATTCCTGCCCTTGAGGAGCTTACAATAAAACAATAACAAATTTTCTGGATGTCTTTTGTTTTTATATCACAGGCCTTTCTAAAAACACCCTTTCCCCTCACTGAGCTCCCCATTATACAAACAACAGAAAAAAGAAGAGGAAAAACAACCAGTCGCAGACCCAAAGTTCTGTAAGCTCCAGAAGAAGGAGGCAGGCATGTTTCATTATCTGTTTTACTGGTTGTTATAATGATCAAGACTGGCTACTACAATCAAGACACAAACAATCAAACAGGAAATTGGAATTATCCAAGAGGCAGCAAAAGGAACAAGGAAAAAGTCTATTCTATAAGAAACAACCAATTAATGCCAATGTAGGTATAGGAGCACACTATTAAAGCAGCGCTATGTAAATAGCCAAAGAAGCCCCGAGAGCTACGATGCCACAGGACAGGCTGCCAGGAGTTCCTCCTACTCGTTAAGAGTTCATTTCTCTTAGTAGTTAAGTTGCCATTCCATTATCATGGTAGAGAGGTTATTTTTTTTCTACAAACCTTAAGCAATCTCTTCATCCCCACCGCTTAGTCAGTACAGAAGTCAAGGAAAGCATAAGTGGGACGTGAAAAAGAGGCATCAAACATTTCCAGGAAATTCACTGGGTGGAACAGGAACAAGAGGCCTAGGAACCCCACTTGAAAGGATCCACAAGACAAAGAAGGGCACCCCCAGGCCGGGCTGTGAGTCTGTAGAACAAATCCGGTCACAGACTGTTTTAATTCAACAAGCATTAATTAATCACTTACTAGGTGCCCAACACTGTGCTAAGCCTTAAGAATACCTTAGAAAAGAAAGGCAAATATATATTATAAAAAGACAAATTCAGGGTACTCTCAGGGAGACAGCATCAAGGTTAAAGAAGACTAGGACAGGCTCTTGCAGGAGGCGGGCCTTTAGCTGAGACTTGGAAGAAGCTGGGAAAGCCAGGAGATGGAGAGTGAAGAGAGCCTCAGGCACAGTGGACAGCTAATGACAGTACCCAGAGAAGGTTACTGAAGATTTTTAAAACTTCCATGCTCAAAGGTCCTATTGCAACAAAAGCAAAAAAGCTGGTCTAGATGCTCTCTGAGGTCCTGTGTGGTTCTAAATCTATGATTGTGTGTTTCTCTGAGTCACGTGCCACTAGCTGGACTCCATCACCTAACACCTACCATTGCTCGTGATCCCCATAAGCACAGCTCACATCTTTATTGCATTTTAATGTTTACAAAGCTCTTTCCTCACAGCCCCTGTGAGTCAGAGGTAGGATAGGGAAATTACAGCAATAAAGTGACTTGCCCAGCCAGAGTCAAAGCAGGACTCCATTGCAGGCCTCCTGACACTGACGCCAGCCTTCTTTCCACGTGACAGCAGGCTGCTCTTGGGGCAGGTGCTTAAATTTTAGTGAGTTCTAATTAGCCTCACTTTGATTGCAATAAGCTGCCTGGGATAAATGTCAGTACATGGGAAAGGATGTAAAACAGAGAGGTCTCTGGTTCTATGGAGAAAACTCTATGTCTGTCTTACCATGGCCCAGCCAATGTAAGGGAAAAAGACAGACAGACAGAGACAGAGGCAAGAGACAGGGACAGACCAAGAGGCTGAAAAAGTCATGGGAGTACAAAGAGATGGAAAGAAGCTGGAACCAAGCCCCTCACCTTAAAGAAAGCAAGAGCTGGGCATGAGATCACAGCAATAAGCAGAAGAGCCAATCCCCTAGCCTGCTCTCTAGCAGTTTGTTCCAAGGAGGTCTACAACCACTGCAACGAGGAATACCAGCCTTGGAGAGAGAAAAGGCTACATAGTCAGAGGTTGATTTTATTTCAAAGAAAGACGCTTGTGTACACACACACACACCCTTCTAAGAAATTCTTTTTCTGTTCTTCCTACTGGAGTGTCTACATGCTACAGAGTAATACCATCAATTTTTAGGTGATTTTTGCCAAGCAGTTTAAGAGCAGTTTGGGGGTTTCTCTTTTGGGGGGATCTTTTCACATCATGCCTTCCACTTACTATAACAACTCAGGATCTTTATTCTTTGAAATTTAGGGTTATATCATTTTAAGAGAATTCTTCTTCTTTTCATGCCTCACTTTTCATATGTTATTTTGCTTAACTCCTCCTCCCACGTCTACTTCAAGCCCTGCTTACTTCCATCCATCAGAAGATGGACAGGTAACTCAAGCAACAATTGTGGTCTAACACTCCCTTAGTCAGAAAAGTCTCAGACTTTTCACTTTCATCTTTGCAAGTGGAAAAGCTACAGAGCTGCATTAGAAGAAAAGATATCAGTCTGCCATCTGCTCCACTACATACATTTGGATCCTGATTGCTCAGTTGCCAGACTAGTCTTGTAGCTAATTATTTTTCCCTAGCTTTAAACATATACAGATATGTATTTTTTCTCTAGCTATGCTTAACATTGCTTATTATTTATGACAGTTTCCATCACAGTCCTTCTTCAATGCTTCATCATTATACAGGTGACCCTGGGTTCTTTACAGCTCGGCCTGGGCCTTCAAAATTGGAGCCAGCTCTTACCACGTATGTGTCATCGTAGGCACAGCCCAGCTCACTATATGGGGAGAAGTTCAGCACCAGACATGTGGACACCAAAGGATGAATTATTCTGGTGCAGAAGCTATCTCAGGTGTGGAATAGCTGTATTCTTTATCCACATCAAGGTAATCCCCCATCTTTCAAAGTGTGGTTATTGTTGCTCAGTCATTTGCCAGTCTTTGTGACCCCACTTGGGGTTTTCATGGAAAAGACAGTGGTTTGCCATTTCCTTCTCCAGCTCATTTTACAGATGAGGAAACTGAGGCAAACAGAGTTAAATGACTTGCCCAGGATCACACAGCTAGGAAGTCTTTGAGGCCAGTTTTGAATTCAGGGAGATGAGTCTTCCTGACTCTATCCCCTTCTCTACCTAGCTGCCTCTACCTTTAAAAGTACGTCAGTATTTATAACAAACCACCTAGGTTTTTCCAAACTGCTGAAAGGACAAAGACCCAAACCCTGCCCGATTTGATGCTGTTGACAGTAGTTGCCTCGGTGCCCTGTAGCCTACTTGTTAATGCCGTCATGTACTGAAAAACCCCAACAATTCAGTTCCACGTATTCAAGTAACTTAAAGACTTTGATCTTAAACACTGTGGAATTGGCAACATACCTACTGAAGGTCCATGTACCAAGCCCCAGTCTAGTTAATAAAAGCCAATGGGAATTTTTGGTTACTGAGGCGTATCACACTGGAAAAAGGCCCAGGTCACTTGGCTGAAACCATCAACAGTTCAAATTCCACTAATACAAAGCAAACGCAAATTCATTTTTGGAACTGAATCCCGCAAAGATCAAAAATTCCAGATCATTGGCTGGTCCCCAAAATAACATCACAAACCAACGAGTGCATCTCCAATTTGCCATTTTCCCTCCAACCACATTCTAGATTACAGCCCATAGATAGACAGGAATCCTATCATGACTTGATACTCAGAGGATTCCCTTCCCATAATAGATCTAGAGAGCAGAACAAACGTTCTTTCGACTAGTGACTCACCAGGCAGTCTGTTCATGTTGACACCTTGGGCTGAGAGTCCTATTCCCATGTACCTTAAAAAAAAAATAATGTTGGTTAGCATACAATTATCCTTCCCCCTCCTGAAAGCTTCTTGGGGGAAGAGAGGAAGGAGAACGGAAAGAGCAACAAACTAGAGAAAATGGTTAAAGCATCAAGGCTTTTGGGGAGTCTGAATTCTAATTTTCAAATGGAAAGTATCTTTAAGCAGTGGAAGGAGCTAAGGCGATCTATCAAACTGGAAACATCAAGCTCCATTTTCAGGGCTAACAGATTTCAAGTAATCGACAACTAATCTTCATTTTTAAATGCCAGCAAAGGTAGCTCCCGGGAGCTGACAAAAAGGAAAGCCAATAAGAAGTGGTATTGTACTTACTGGCACCGCAATACAGAGGACTGAGTCCCACAGGAAAGTGACTCTGCAGAAGTGACCCAGATTTGACACAGAAAAATAAGGACATAACCTAACTGGATATCGATCGATCACACGATCATGCTTTTTCCACAACCCTCACAGCCTCTGACATGGTTATTACAGGCTCTCTGGCATCCCTACTGTTCCGTACATTCAACAGCCTGAGGTTTAGATAAACCTTCCAATACCCTCTAGGGCCCTTCAGAAGGCTCTAAGAGCAAGGTGATCCTCCCTCATGGGCCCACTCACTATATACAGCATTCAGCTTGATGGGGAGACACTGCTGACATTTTTGCAAAGGCTTAATGAGGATAATACAACTGTGTCCCTTTCCCTTTCAGATATAATAGTCCTTCAGAGTAGCACCCACCTTAGCACACTATCACATGGCTTGTTGATTCACAGAATTTTAGGCTTACTAAGCAACAGTTCCAAAGACCTAGAAAACACAGCTAAGTTTCACTGTTACACCAAGGTTCTGACTTTCTTTTGAGAAAAGTTCCAGAAGAACACAACTACATTTGTAAATGAATTATCTCCCTACTGAATCACCCCACTCTATTAAGTACCTCTCTATTAAGTCATTGTGGCACAGAGGCAACCAGGGGTTCACAAAGACTTCCATAAGAACACAAGCTGTGGCTGAAAGGGCTCTGAGTATGGGACAGATTGCATATGTCCTTCCTCTGAGGATCAACCTAGCCAAGTTCAGTTTGCCCCAAGGATAATGAATGCTTTGGACATAGTCTTCTCCAAGTAAGATTTAACAAGCATTTTACAAACTTGATCTCATTTGAACCTCAAAATAACCTGTGAGGTAGGTAGTGTAACTATTCATTTTACAGATGAAAGAATGAAGTTCAAAGAGGTTCTTCAAAAATTAAAAATGTTCATGAAGCATCTACTATGTGCTAAACATTAGGTATGAAAAACTGACAAAATCTGTAGTCGTGACCCTCAAGAAACATCCAAGCTAAAAGACGGCAAAAGGTTAAATGATTTGTGAAAAGTCACAAAGCTAGTAAGTGGCAGGGCCAGGCCCCCAAAGTCTAGCCTTCTTTCTCTCTCTCCACAAGAACCCCAACAATGCTGCCTGTGGAGCTCACTGAGCAAGAGAAAATGCTTGCCAGGAGAGTTCTATATCATATCTGTATCCCCAGCATCTAGAACAGTGCCTTAAAATGTGAATGTTGACTGGTTGATTCAGGTATGGATGGAATGGACTAGATGGTCGACTATTCCTTTCAACCCTGAGATTGTGTTTCTGTCAAAGGCTGAACACTAAACTACTTCCAGCTAAATTTTACAGTTAAAACTTCCTCATACAGCATTCCTAGAGCATATCTCTCTCACACACGTATATATGCACATGTATATATGGATAAGTATACATGTACACATATACATACTTCTATGTATATATAATAGATGTATATATATATATATATATATATATATATATATATGTCTGTGTGTGTATGTATACATTATACATACACATATATCATTAGTCCTTTAGACAAGCAGACAAGGAAATAATGGATTCACCAAGTCATACACCAGCAAATCTCAACCATTCAAAACACAGTCAACACTAAAAAGAAAGCCAAAAAGGCATCCAAATGGTGACAATATCAACACCATTGTCAAAAATAAAAACAGGCCTCTGAGCATTTTCCTACATGCTGACCCTGTATCACAAAGGCCACAGACTCAGTAAGACCTTCAGATTCTCACTCAGGTTATTTAATCTTGCTTTACAAATAATTCTAACCAGTGTAGTTGTTTAGTTTCATAGCGTATAACGGATTGGAAGCAAGTTAGAGGTGTGAGGAGAGGACACTGCTAGATGCAGGTTCACTGCCCACAGTCTAAAACGATTGCTGATAGACTGAGAAGGAAGAATGTAAAAAGAACCTAAGTCTGAGGCCATTTGAAGGGGATGGAGGGAGGGGATGGGTAGCATGGGAAGCCTTGCATTACAGTACATAATGATAAATACTGTTCATGATGATGCTAAGTCATTAGGAAAAAATTAAATGACATTCATTATATTGCTTAAGACAGCAGAAACTAAAGAAAGATATACACAAAAACTACAATAATATAAATGAAAACTATACTAAGAGGCAGCTAGTCTCAGATTAAAGACTATAACCAATTTTATTTCAGAAGGACAAATGATAAAACACACCTTTCTCCTCTCGGTAAAGAGGCCAACACCTATGCTCTCAGATTCAAATGTATTATTGGTTTGGTTTTGTTTAACTGTTTTTCATTGTTAACAAATGAAGGATCTGAGAAAATCTATTAGAAAATTACTAGTATGTAAAAGGTATCAAAAAACTTTTTAAAAAGGAAGTAGAGGTGTATGCAATACATTTTAGAGAGATCTCCATTCAAAATAGTTAAAATTTTAAAAAGATTTGGCACTCAAAGGAATAAGCTTGAGTTATTTGTAAAATTCACTTCTGTAGGAACACTTCACTGCTCAACAACGCCAGATAAATGAGATATCAATGCAACTCTCTCACCAATCAATTCAAAGGAAGTCTGCAAGGGGCACTAGATTAGCATGCTGTTTTAGAGAATGGCTGGTTAATTACAGGTGAGATAGATGATAACACTGGACAAGACATTAAAGTGAACGTGGCTCCTCTTCTGAAAGGCAAATTGTGCTGTGAGTGAATTGTTTGGCACTCAGAGGATGGATGCCTCCTAAGAACCAAGATCTGGGGGTGAAGGAGGTCTCCCTAAGCTGTCCCAGCTGCTCCAAGAGCCAGAGTCTCATTCGGAGCCAGGATATGACCCAGGGACTAAAAAGTACTATGACCTTACTCAGCATAAGTAAACGAACAAACAAACAAAAAGTCAAAAACCAAACAAGGTCTGACAAGCAATTCTGACAACATGACACTGAATTTAACAAATGCAGAAAGTTAAAGAAAGATAAACAGAATTCGGAGTATTCCCTACTGTAGAAAGACAAGTATGCTTATTTTCTATAGCAGTCCTTGGACTGCAGAATTGGTTTCTTAAAGTCTACAGAATATGCAGATGCTGCAACACCTAACTGGGCCATGCCTCACTCAAATAAGAGATGTAAACATTGCCAACCAATTGCCAGGTTACAAGGGGAAGCTGCTAATGCTGGCAGATTTCCTATTAGGTTTTGGTATGAACCTTTTCCCCCCTCCAAGAAAAATGGTAACACAAATGTTTCTCCAGTCTCTCTGTTCCCGCTAAAAGCAGATAAACTGCTCTACCAGAGAATCCACCAGATAGCTTTCTCTGTGCTGCCCATAGCTGTTCCTTGGGAAGGAAAGGACTATAGACCTATTTCTTTGTCTGAGCAGAATGGTCACAGACAGATTGTTTGGTGATCTCATTCATTCATGAGGGCTCCAGCAGAAACTCTCTTTAGCCACCCCCCAACAACTCCCCAAGTTAAGTCATGCTACCTAGATACAAATTTACTAATGTACCAAATAAGAGAAACCCTTCAGTCTTCATGGTGTCAAAAGAAAAAAGTTTGAAATAAATTAGGTGCTTTTCAAAACATGGATGAAGGCAACATGTCTACTATGGAAGTGTTTTGCATAATGCACATGTATAACCTATATTGAGTTGTTTGCCTTTTCAATGAGGGTGGGTGGGGAGGGAGGAAGAGAGAAAATTTGAAACCTAAAGTTTTAAAAACATACGTTTAAAAAAAATGTTTTCACATGCTACTAGGAAATAAGAAATACAGGAGATGGGGTATAGAAGTCTATCCTGCCCTACAGGAAAATAGAAGGGGAAGGGGGATAGAGATAGAAGAAAGGACAGACTAGGAGAAGGGATATTCAGAAGGCATGCCATCTTGGGGTGGGGGGAGGGGTGAGATGGGGCAAAAATTTGGAACTCAAAAATTTGTGGAAGTGAATGTTGCAAACTAAAAATAAATAAATTTATGTTTATAAAAAAAATTTAAATAAATTTAAATAAATTTTAAAAAAACATGGATGAAGGCTCCAATGCAAAAAAGTGCAGTTGCCATGCATGATTCTTCATTATCAACAAATATTCACTGAACACCTACGTACAAAGCACTGTGCTAGGTGACGGATTCCCTCAGTAACCTGGAACAACAGCCTTTGGAGAAGACATAAGGATTACAGAGATCACAGAAATCACAAGATTTAGATCTACAAGGGACCTTACTTCTATTGCCTCCTTTTGGCATTCAAAGCCTGTCATAACCTTACTACCTACCCTACACATACACTTTGATCCAGGGACAACAATCTCTGGGATCCTTCTTATACAAGGCTGTTTCTCCATGTCTCAGCTCCAGACATTTTCTTGGCTCTAGACATGGCTGTCCTCCAAGCCTCTTCCACTGACTCCTAACCTCCCTATGTTCCCTTCAGTCCCAACAAAATTCCATCTTCTACAGGAAGCCTTTCCCACCTCCTAACCTAGTGCCTTCCCTATGTTATTATTTTCAATTTATCTGTGTATAGCTTGTTTTACACATATTTGTTTGTGATTGTGAACTCCTTGAGGGCAGGAACTGTCTTTTGCTAGTTTTTTTTTAATCTCCAGCAGAGTGCCTGACACATAGTAGGCATTTAATAA